TGTTTTTTTTTTTTTTTTTTTGGTTAAACCGAGGGAAAACCCACAGGAGGCTGAAGGAAATGAGGCTCAACTCTGGGAAGGTCTGTCAGGAGGTTGCTGCTTTCTGAAACTATCTCAGAAATTCAAGTGGGGAATTCAAAGTACAAGATAGCCAAACAAAGAAGGCAACAGAGTGGAACTAGTAACAGGCCCCAAGGAAAACCAGAACAGACAGGGAAGAACAAAGTGCTCATCAAATTTACATGCAAATAGCAATGCTGATATTGCACATGATTAACTCCTCACTTGACTGAATCCTGTCTGGATGGTTATGTTCCTTTAAGAATTGCTTTAAAGACAGCATCCTAACTTCTTTTAATCAAATATTAACAATCTATTTATGGTTGTTCTTCACTGTCTTTGTTGGTCCAGTCTCTTATCTCAGCCATTGCCTAACTGTGAAAAAGCAGAATTTGAGCAATTAGAAAGTGGATGTGTAAAGTTTTGTTTTCTCCTTGGCAGAATTATTTCCCATCTATATTATTGCCCTCTATGAACAGAGTTGCTTGTTTCTTTAGTTTTCATTTACCTCCCTGCCAGACTGTCGTGGTTTAACCCCAGCCAGCAACTAAGCACCACACAGCCGCTCGCTCACTTCCCTCCAGTTGGATGGGGGAGAGAATTGGAAGGGTAAAAGTGTGAAAACTCATGGGTTGAGATAAAAACAGTTGTTTAATAATAATAATAATAATAGTAGCAGTAGTAGTAGTAAGGAAAAGGAAAAGGAAAAAAATAACAGAGAGAGAGAAATAAAACCCAAGACAGACAAATGATGTAAATGAAAACAATTGATCACCACCAACCGACCGATGCCCAGCCAGTCCCCAAGCAGCAGCCCCCCCTGCCAACCCCTGCCCAGTTTTATTGCTGAGCATGACATCATATGGTCCAGAATATTCCTTTGGTCAGTTGGGGTCAGCTGTCCCAGCTGTGTCCCCTCCCAACTTCTTGTGCAATCCCAGCCTACTCACTGGTGGGGTGGGGTGAGGAGCAGAAAAGGCCTTGACTCTGTGTAAGCACTGCTCAGCAATAACAAAGACATCCCTGTATTATCAACGCTGTTTCCAGCACAAATCCAGAACATAGCCCCATACTAGCTACTGTGAAGAAAATTAACTCTATCCCAGCCAAAACCAGCACACAGATAGATAAAGGCTGTCTGTCTTGCACTGTAAGGTTTCCACGCTGTTGCAGCCACTAGCAGCTGTAAATGAATGTTAGGTCTGACAAACATTCTACCTACTGCATTGCAGTCAAGAGTTCATTTGTTGTGTTCTCCCTCTGTTAAATAGACCAGGATACCCTGCAAAGTCAAACATGAGTGAATGAGACAAAGACTTTGTGCAGCTCTGAAGCATTTGGCTATTATTACTACATCAAACTGTGCCAGGCAATCTGCTTTGTGAGGCAGAGTTCATGACATCTGTGATTACATGCTGCACAGTCAATTTGGCAAAAATAATTTAGTTAATCAGAAAAAGCAACTTGTTTGCTAACAGACTGAAATACAGTATACTTTCATTGAAATTCAAGAGTAAAATATTTTATTAACACTCCCATAAGAAATTACATTGGCAAGTGCTTTTGTCAAAAGGCTTGGAGAGAGTCAACTTGGAGTTAGATTTTGATCACAGAATTTTCAAATTCCTCAGGTCCCGTGGCATGCTGTGGCAAGGAAACACTGTGCTGCCTTCAGACCCATGGGCGTGGTTCAAAGGTAACTCCTAGTACCTTCTCCCTGCCATCAGAGGCCAAAGAAATTGTTCACTCAAACAAAATCAGCAGGCTGACATTTCAAAACATTTATCAACCCTGAATGAGGGGCTTTAAAATTTTTACCACTATAAACAAAGAAAACTGTGACATGGGGTTGGGGTCTTTTACTCATAGAACTTTTATACTGAGAAGTATTTATACCAAGAGAAACAAAAATCCATCGTTGTGCTTCAGAGAAATACAAAGTATGCGAAACATGCTGTTAATATTGCATAATCATCAGTTGTCTGTGCTTTCTTGATGCTGATTTTTCCAGTGAGTAAAGCTTTTTCTTTGCAGAGATTCACCCCCCCCAGTTTGCTAGCTCTAAGTTTTCCTCAGGGTGCCTGAATCATAGCTTAAGAAATACTGCTGGCTGGTCCCTGTAAGGCACTCGAGCCACAGAAAACTTCAGTTCCATGTGCATTGCTTTAGCAGCATAAGGTTATGCTATAGAAAGGGCTCTTAATGCAGGAAACAGCTTCTGAAAGATGATCATCTTCACCTTTGTACTCATTTTTGTGGGATGCATGGTGATGACTATCTGACAATTGCTTGAAATTCTATAGCAAAAAGATGGAAGAAACTTTACATTTTGCTGTCTTAATCTATGTCCCTCTATTTTTCCATCTTCCCATATAATCTGAAAATGCATTTTCTAGAGTACATTTTCAGGTAATATATAGGAAACAAATGGACTAATTCTTATCTATTAACTCAATGCTGACTGAAGTTCAAGACAAAATATGAAGCAGATATTGAATGTTCATCATTTAGAACAAGTACTTTACTGTAACACAAATAATACAGAAAAGGGAAATTTTGTTTCTTATGCATATTTATATAGCATGTTTTTACGTAGGGTATCTTAAAAATTAATCAGAAATAGCTCAGGTTATATTTCTTCAAGAAAACACAGTTTGCATTTTATATTTTCAACAAACATGGAAGTTCAACATTTGTTTTTACAAAGGCCATTAGATCTCAGTATTTCCAATATGCAACTTTACAATAATTGCCATTTTATATTCTGTTATTTTCAAATTACTTATAGTAAGACATGGTTTTGGTTTTTTTCCTAGATTTTGATTATGAAACAATTTCCCTCTCTGCTTCCAAGGCATGTCAGATTTACTGTTTCTTTCATCTGATTCAATCATACCTAGAAGCATGAGACAATAAAACTGGGGTAAACTCTACATAAAAACAGGAAGTGTCAAAGTCTAAAAGACAGGTAATACTCACTTAAATGTAGCAAGGATTTCACCAACACCTGCAAGATCAGTTACTTTTTTTTTTTTTTTCTTCAAAGTGCCTCCCTTAAGGTTCATTCCATTTAAGACTTCAGCTTCCTGAAAGGAATGGATCTGCTGCCTGGCCCTCACATAAACCACCTTTCAGAGGTTAATTCTGACCCAATTTATACCTTTTATACAAAACGGAAGTTTCAGTACAAAGTCAGAGAGAAATTTGGCCGTGAATTCAGGTCTAATCCATGTAGGTTTGGATTTTTTTTCCTACATTTTCCCCTATTGTATATTCAGTCACTTTGAAATAACATAGTTAGCATTTTGAATTCATTATTTCTCTGGCTCTGACCCAAAGAAGTCAGCTGGATTATTCCCAGCCTTACAGTACCTTTGGCCAGGATCACAGCGCATGTACTTTAAGCAGTATTAATTTCCTTTGTGTATGGAATGATTTTCAAATAGAAAAATTAAACATGGTAGAGACACAATACTAGAAAGATGTCTAGTAACTTACCTGGGTCAACTCTAGTGGACACAATGGCTAAATGCTTAGGGAAACACATGTGAACACCATATGTACTGTCAGGGGAAAAACAAACTTCTGAAAAATCTGTTTCAAAAGCTTAGCTATTATTTGTGTAAAACTATCACCTGTCCCATCACTCAGTGTAGTTTTGATTAAGTGCAGGAGTCCCAGGAAACCAGTTAACATTGCCCAATTTTTCAACTATTTCAAAATCATAATTGGTGTTCTAACAGCTGCACTGGGACATCCAAAGGACCACATTTCAGCTGAAGAAGGCTGGAATGCAGTAGGCTCTGGCTTCTCTTCCCACACTGCTGATATCTGCTTTTCAGCCACTGCAAGGAAGATATTTAGGAGCTAGGTATTCTGCACTTGGATTCCTTATACCAGAGAAATTTTTACTTAGGACATGCTGGGCCCAGTTGCTTCAGGACTACAACAGGAAGGCAGAGGCATGTGGAAAGAAATCTGATAAGGATTAAAATACGATCAAAAAGTCCTTCAATTTATTATTAACTTCTTAAAAATAAGACAAAGCCAAAAGCTAACACGATAACATTAACTGAAGATCTTGAAAACAATCACACATAGTGCACATTTTGGTACTATTAACAGTAAAGACATCTATCTTCTATGGTGATATACCTCAATATCTAAACAAATTTCTTCCTGTGAATACATATCAATGATGTGATCAAGTAGGACACTTGGCACAGTGTCACCCACTGCATTCACTGTGAACATTTAGATGGTCAAAACTGGTTTTATTCACAAAATTTTTCATGCATGACAACTGACTTTTTCTTCTAAAATTACATAAAATATATTTAAGAAAAGGATAACATCACATACTTCTATGAACAAGAATGAAACAAGAGGAATCATATTAAAAAGCTTAACTAAAAACAGCAAATAGTTGAACTGAGGTGAAGTTACAAAACAAGCAACCCTTGTCACTGATTACAAGGCTAAAAAGCAGTCCAAATCTCCAAGTCGAGAACTGACATCCGCAGAAGAGCCAACCATTATTCCTTGATATTTTGAAGTAGCCTTAAAAAATAAGACTCAATAACTTGTTGAACTAAAGCAGAGAAACAATCAGGTTAATCAGTGTTCAATGTTTGTTCAAGTCTTTAGGGCTGTACTATTTTTTCTGGCTTGTCTTGTAGAATTATTTAATAAAGCCAGACATGAATACATTCACTCTGGAAAGGGAGTTTGCATCCCTTCAGAAAATAAAAGCCTCATATAATGCTAAAACAATACACCCAGTAAGGCAGATGGTTTTTGGAGGTGATGATCTGTTCTCTGGTTTGAATAGGCAGACAGCAAATGGAAAGCAAATTTTTAAGCCTATAAATGGAGAGTAGGCAAGAACACTTATTAAGAACTACTTCTATGGAACATTTTGAGATTGAACTCTTGAAGGAGTCCTACATCTAGATATCAGTGAAGTTACTGGCTCCCCCATAAGCACAGAAAAAGCTACAGGAGAAGCTACATGTGCAGTGCTGGGCTTACGTTTGGATTCAGTTAATTTCTGTAATGACAGACATTTCACAGCTTTCAAAATGAAGGCAACATGAGGGAAAAAACAATCAAGAGTCCCTTCTTTGCCTCTTGGTTTTCCAGAGCCAAATAAGGTAGCCTAATTCACTGATCCTGGCGCTATTACTGTCTGCCTCCAAGATAAACTAGAGCTAGAGCTAGTCTGACAGGGGAAGAAGGTTTTTCAAATTACATCACATCATGCCAATCAACAGAGTGCCAGGGTAAAGGGTTCAGGAGGGCTGCAGGCCTCTGTTATCATTGTCCAGTGCAACACACAGCCCTTGCACAGGGCTGAGGAGCAGCTCAGCTCCCCTTGTCTGGATCACAGCTGCATCAGCCCTACACACCATTATTTGTGCCCACAGATGCAGATCCAGGTCAGTGACATTTTCTCACTAAGGACCTGGCTTTCTGAACCAGGGAGGAAAACTCCTACCCATTTTGGGCTGATACATTTAGGTGTATAAGACTTTTAGGACAGGTATCTTCTTACAGCTGCAAAATCTCTACTAGGCCATTCATGTAGCTACATAAACAAGGAGCAGTAAAAATAAAAATCAAAGAATGGGTGATTTTAACTTCCCAGACGTCAACTGGGACTATCATACAGTGGACACAAACAGATCCAGGAAATTCCTGAAGCATGTTGAAGATAACTTCTTGGTGCAGGTACTAAGGGAGCCAACTAGGAAAGGTGCCCTCCTGGATTTGTTGTTTGTAAACAGAGAGGGACTTGTGGGCAAAGTGGTGATTGGTGGCTGCCTTGGTCACAGCAACCACAAAGTAGTTGAGTTTCAAATCGTTGATGATGATAGGAGAAAAACTGCTAGCAAAACTTTGAATAGGGAGAGCAGACTTCGAGCTGCTGAAGGAGCTAGTTAGTAAGGTCCCCTGGGAATCTGCTTTTGAAGGTATTGGGGTCCAGGAATGCTGGTCCCTTTTAAAGAGCCATCTCTTAAGAGTGCAGGAGCAGGCAATTCCAAAGTGTCGGAAGTCAAGCAAGCGGGGCAGAAGTCCGGCTTGGCTGAGCAGGGATCTTCTAGAACTTAGGCAGAAAAGGAAAGCGTATGGACATTGGAAGCAAGGACAAGCAACATGGGAGAACTACAGAGATGCTGTTTGCCACTGTAGCGAGAAAATTCGTGTGGACAAAGCTCGATTAGAGTTCAAGCTGGCCAGCACTGTGAAGGACAACAAAAAGGGCTTTTTAAAATATGTTAATAGCAAAAGGAGGATCAGAGATAACGTTGGGCCCTTCCTTGATGAGTTCAGTCACCTCACAAATAGGGACGTAGACAAAGCGGAGACGTTCAATGCACATAAATCTATGGGGCCCGTATGGGATTCATCCCAGGGTACTGAAAGAGCTGGCCGATGTCATTGCGGGACCTCTCTCCATTATTTTTCAACAGTCTTGGGAGTCTGGAGAGGTCCCAGTCAACTGGAAGCTGGCAAATGTTGTCCAATTTTCAAGAAGGGTAAGAAGGAAGACCCTGGTAATTATAGGCCTGTCAGTCTCACTTCGGTGCCTGGTAAAATTATGGAGAAGGTTATTCTGGGAGTTATTGAAAAACACTTGAGAGACAATGCAG